CGAGTTAGAGCAAAAGGGAGAAGCAGGTGAAAGGAGGAGTGTCAGCAATACACTCATTACACTGTTCATTTGAGTGACACTTGCACTCCGTTCCGCTCCATCTCATCTGATCCCTGACTGTTCGCTCTCTCCCTCTCGCAGCCTCCCGAAATTCACAGCTGAGCTGTCTCCCTCACATATGGCTTGCATATAATTATGCACATTCCATTTTACACTGCATTAAAATGATGAGCTCCTGGCTCCCTGCCAACCTATTTAAATCAGCCACTGCCCAAAGAAGCCGGGGAGAGGAGGAGGGCACGGGGGCTGTGATCAGAGTGGGGGACGAGAGGAGCGTGCGGAGGTGACAGGGTGAGGAGCAGGTAGTCCTGCTCCCCACGCTTCCAGCTGCCCCCTGGTTTGAGGGTTCCGGGGGTGCCCGGGTGCAGCGCACGTGCGTCTCGGCGGCTGCCGCACCGCGCGCGTGCGTCGCGGCGCCTGCCGCATCGCTCCCCCCCTCAGTGGCCTGAGCCGCCTGTCCTCCTGCACCACACTCACGGTGCCCAGGATTTTCCAGCGCTGGCATTTAGGAGAGGTATTTGCACCTTGTAGAATCTATGGCTTTGTTTGCCTTCAAATAGGCTTCTGCCTCTCCCTGGGGAGACAGAGTGGGAAAGCGGAGCTGGGAGTTCGCAGCACCAGGGATTTTTAGAAAAATGTGAAGGGGTTGCACCACGACAAAACCCTGTTGACTCCAGTAGGCTTTGACTTGGGCCTTGGCCTGTCAGCCACAGGGCATGAACAAACTCTGCCTGACAGAAAATACCATTTTTAGAGGTGCAAAGTTTGTCCAAAAGTCTGTTTTGAGTAGTACCTACAACTGATGATTATTACAAGAAGGGGGAATTGGTAAATGAGTTTATTCTGTATGTTTCCTAGCAGCTCATAGGTTTTTTCTTTCACTGCCTTCAACAGCTGCAGGGTGGAAAACGTTTAAAATATTTCCTTCAAACCACAGAGAAGAGGCAGAGCATTCCTGAGCACCTGAAATCACTTTTATATTGACAAAGGTTTAAATGTATTCTTCTAATTATTAGTTTGAAACTCTGAACTCTAATTACTAGCCTGAAACCTCTCTCATAACATAATTTTACTTCCCATGCTGCATGAAATACAAAGTCCAAATCTGACCATGTTTTGTAACAAAAAAACCCCACCCGATTCTCATTTTGAAAACAAACTTTGCCCTTTCCTCTCCCCCATGAATGAATACGGACAACTTGCTGAAGCTTTTTCAAGTCAACTAGAAGACAACTGGAGGACAAACACCTTAAAAATGCCTTGCACAAATAGAAATGGACCTGTCAGCTTGGGATCAGAGGTGCCAATGGGATGCCCAGTGACAGAGAGCTAGTGAGATGTAGGGCTCTGAATGTTATCGGTGCCCTCAGACCCCTGAAATTGTATCTTGGCGCTATTCTAGACATTGTGCACGTGACGGCTGGCACGTTGTAACCTGCCAGTGACCCTCTGCAGCATTATCATGGTTGCACGCACACACCTTGTAAAATGAAATGGATATCAGGGTGTTTGTAGTGCATGTGTCAAAATACAGAGACAAACCCCACCGACCTTGAACCGCTTACCAAAATTGCCGGTTGCCCAAACGTTATTCACCCCTGCTGGTGGCAACATGCTCCCCTGCTGTTGATTCAAACCTTATTTTATTTAGCTTTGGACATCACCAAAACTACCTAGTCTCAAAACCAGTTCAGCTACATATTGCTATAATTTACTCAGGCAGCAGAGCATGCCCACTTTAGCTAGCTGGTTTCCATTGTAAAAAAATACCTATTCTCAGCAGCCAGGGGTAACTCTCCAGTTGCTTTACATTAATTCATTACTACCACCTTCCACTTGTGAATTTCCACCTTTTCCACTTCTTCCAGTTTGCAGGAGGAAACACTCTTACAATGTTTAGCACTGTTTTAAACACTTAAAAAGTGGCTCAGAGTTTATCTTGCCATGGTAATGTTGTGATATGCCTATATCTACACTGACTCACTCCCAATTGTTGCTGTATACCAGTAAGCAACTGCCTCAGCTCCTCAGCATTCCGACCTCACTCACACCAGGCTGGCATCTCCAACTTCTCCATCAGGCCTGGCTGGGACGTATTCTGACTGCTATTATTTAAAAGAAAGCAACTGGGGGGGGGAAAAAAAAGAAGCCAAACCTGTGATATCTCTGAATTTTTACAATGCTTTTAAACTGCTAAAATCATTATAGAAATTATCTCATTAAGAAATGTATGTCCAAAATGTTAGATGCAATTGATTGCTTCTATGCAATATATGGTACAGCTGGTCTCCCTCACATCTTGTTCCAGGACAAAAAAGGCTTCGGCTCCTGTGCTGAGGCCTGGGACCATGGTGAGCGCTGCTAGTTTTATCAGCACGGAACTGCTGCAACTTCCCTGTGGCAGCACGTCTCCTGGGATTTACTGAAGCTCCTAATTCAATAGCCTCTGCTGGCAGGCAGCCGCCTGCCCGTCAGCTGCGTGGGATCCAAGAGGGAGACCTGCCCATCGCTGGCCCCGGGACACCGGGCTGGGCACTCGACAGAACCGGTGGCACTCGTGCTGCGCCAGCTGCTCCTGGCAGAAGACAGCACGTTACCCAAGGAGCAGGGCTGGCAAGGAACATCTAGCAAGAACCGCAGTCAACTTGGTAGAGCTGGCTTAGCTGTAAGGTCAGCCTGGTGATGGTTTTGAGCAGGAAAAAGTGGCCTTTAATTGAGGGTTAGATATCAGGAAACCCTTCTTAATGATAGGTATGACAAAGCGCTGGAGAAGATTGCCTAAGGAGACTGTCAAAGCCCCATCATGGGAGGTTTTTAAGAACAGATTAGGCAAACATCTGTCAGGAATGACATGCAGAGAGTAGCTCCTGATGTGAGGAAGCTGGACAGATGAGAACATCTCCTTTCCCAGGTCTCTTTCCTCTCTGCTTTCGATCACTGAGCTTTGGAGAAAAATGTCAGGAGGGTAAGGAAAAAAAAAAGTTAAAAAAAGAACAAAAACCAGAATCTAAAAGAACCTCTCTGAAAACAACACAGCATTTCATGTTCAGAGATATGTGTACTCATTAATAAGTACATGATGACAACTATTTCTGGCTACACAAACTGTGCGATCTGTTCGTAAGCCAGCCAGCCTATATTTGTGAAAGATGCCAATAGTTTGGAAACAGACTATATATTAAGTCAAGATTCCCTTTTTTAACAAGATGGAGGAAGAACAATCTGCAGCAGAATTTCCCTCTCTCTGAAGTGCATGGATATTTGTTTCTTCTTATTCTCAGAGAAAAATTATCTTGATCCAGACAGAGGATTTCTTAGCTTGAGTATAAGTCATTTTATGCAGCCTTAGCCTCGGGAGAGGAAATCTGTGCTTACATTTTAATATTAAAGGCAGGATCTTATGGTAGTATAAGTCACAAGGCAGGTGAAACAGAATAATTTGTTAAGATGGAATTTGTTAATGCAAAGCTTCCACTAAAATGGGACAACGCATTTGCAATGAAATCCTACTGCTTGGTCCACAAAAGTTTAACGCCAGTTGACTGAAAACACCTAACATCTATTTTCTAAAAGCAATGGGCATTTGAGTAATGCAGAGTGACAGAGTATTAGCCTGCTTACTCAGGATAAAATTGCCACCTAATTGCCATAAACATCCTTTAAAATAGATGAAACACAGGACCGTTACCCCCGGACAAGTTAAACACAGGCATTAGGTGAACGTCTCTTGGCAGGACAAAAAAAAAGCTGCAAGAAGCTGAACAGTGTTGCTATAGAAGCGCAGATAAGTGTGTCGAGGCTCTCGTCCCGTGGCGATGAGCAGAGGAAGTTCACATCACCCTTAATACTATTGTCTCCAGAGCCTGGCTGCAGATGGGAACTGAAAGCCGTGTTTCCGCTTCCACCACAAAGGTTATCTCTCCCTCCACTGAAACTGGAAGGAAATCCTCAGGGAGACCCTAATCCTTGAAATTCTAGTTCCTGTGCATTTCTGTTGTCTCAGATAATCAATTATCATGCTCTCTACAGTATTCACTGTACCAGTTATGGTAAAAATAGTACTAAACTTCCATCTGTTAAGTATATTTTTCCCAGAAATATGAACGTGCTTGCTGTGGGCTGGGGCGGTGGGGGAGCCCGAAATGGGGGTGCCAGGCCACGGCTCCACGTCAGGAGTGAAGCAGGGCCAGGGACAATGGTTCGGAGAGGATGTCCCTGCTTCAG